GGATTAGCGGAACCGGTTCATGTACTTTCTTTCACAGGCGAGTCGCGTCGCGCAACTTGAATAAGTAGCCATTTACTCGCCTGCATGGCCCTTTCTCGACACGGTGGTTCGCCCCCTACTTAACGCTTATTCCTCACGTCCCCTCGTGAACGACTCATCCCCGTATCATCCCCCTATTCTCCGCCGTCTAACCCTCCGAAAATCCTGACCAATGGCGTACAAGCCGTGGGATCCATTGTCGATCTGACCAATCGTCGCTGCCCGTTCCACGCACACGCGAGATCGGTTTCACGCGTAACAGACTATTCTTCGGCACTTTTTTTTCCACCCTCTCTCCCCTGCGCCCGTCCGCCGCCCTCTCTCCGCTGCGGGAAAGGGGGCGAGGAGGACTATAAGCTGCTTTAAAATGCATATCGATTTAGCCTAATGACGGACGCCGTTCCACCAGGTCGCATCTGCGGATTAATAGGACAGATCGTTCACGGGAAGAGAATGGTTCGACAGCGCGCGCTTTATTTCCCAATCGCGCGGCGAACAGATTGCGGCCGGTTACCGGTTGCAGTTGCTTACTTTTTTCTGCACTCGCTCTTCATGTTCGCGTGTACCTGCAATGAGCGGTAATATTTTCTCAGTCTGCCTCAATTTGCCGTATTGTCGTACACAGCTACGATAGACTGGCGTTCTGATGCCGCGACTCGAAATCATTTCTATGCTAATGGATGCTGCGTTCCATCGATCATCGTTAAATGCAACGTCACCAAGTCCCGTACTTGGCTATTTGCGCTTGGGATCCTTATGATGCTGAAGCACGATATTGCCACATTATGATAATATAATCATAATATAATTCTCTATACATGTAAGAAAGATTATTTCTGTATGTTATACAAGAGTAAAACGTTTATGTAGATAAGTTGAAACTGATTATTAGAGAGTTCAAAATATTTTCTCTCCTGGAGAGAAAATTAATAATAATTAATAATTTAAAGGTAAAATTATGAGAAAAATGTATTGTATGTAGTATTAATTATGAATTTATAATGTCATTAATGTAATAATTGAAGCGAATATAAATAAAAAAATATAATTATATGCATTTAATATTTATTATAGGTAAACATGTAATAAACATTTTTCATGGATAGTTAATATGTTATTATTTACTGATGAATTTATTGTAACTGAATAAATGAAAAAAAAGAAATTGCGAAATATAGCATAAAACAACTCAGCTTTTTGAAAGAATTTCGTATATGTTGTTTATATAATGCATATATTATATTATATGTTGTTTATGTACATTGCTCAATGTTGCTCAATTTATGTTCGAATTTTCAAGCAATAATTTCCTAAATAATTTGAGTTATGCGTGTTTGTCAATTTAAATTCGTTTCAATTTAAATATAACAATAGAGGAATATATGTGGAATATACACAAGAGAAAAATATTTACGGTACCATTTGTGAGAATGACAGAATGGTGCTGCCAAATCGCATTTCGACGGCGAATAGAAGGAGCGAGAAGAGAGCCGGGAAAAAAGGAGGCGTAATAAAGAGGCGTGATGCGTGTATACGCGCGTGTTCACGAGCAATGTGCGAAAACAATGCGTGAAGCCGTGCATGGATCGTTTCTCGAAAAAGCTAATTTATTTCGACGAGGGAGTCACATAAGGGTTGTCGTTGTCGTGTACGCAAATAGAAATGAGTTTTCATTCATCTCGACGCCTTTAATCGTTTCGAATAAAGTTTACGCATATTTATGATTATAATTATAATATCAATATCACCTTTACAACAAATATCTCGTATTCATATTTTATAAAAACACGAATACTCTTTTTACTTTGTATTCATAGTCTGCATGTATTCATAGTCTCTTTATATACAGAAAGTGTGTACTTTATTGAAATAACAAAACAGCATATTTTTAACATTAAAGAATTGAAATTTCATGAAAGGAATAGCCATTATTTTATCAATAAGACAAAACTAAATATTCTATATAGAGAAACTATTATGTGACTAAATACATAAATGTATTTTAGAACATATGTATACCAAATTCGTAACAATTTGGTTGCAAATTATTTTATTTGTCATTCAGAGTCATTATTCTGAAAGATACAGTCATAAGAAAAATTTTTTACAGTTTATTAACGAACAATTTTTTGTTTCTTCTCATTGTTATATTAGAAAATGCGATTAAAAAATAGTGCAGAGTTCTCTTAGCAGATGCTTTACACACTGAAAATAGAAATCGTTGTTTTTATAATCTTTTCCAAATATAATAAAAAAATTCAAAATCTGTAAATAAAAAAATACATATATATATAATATTAAATCATAATGTATATACATATATAAAATTTATTTTAGTTATTGTTATTTTATTATCGTTCTCTTCTCTTATAGTTCCAGAGAAATATTTCTGATATTTTAAGATACAATTCCCATGCGTAAATCTTTAAAAAATGCAGATGAAGCTTGATTTTGTCAAATATTTATTTTGGTTTAAACTCCTAAGCTTTCGATAGAGGACAATAGTTGTTATAACAATATACTCGTATATCTCAATCTGTGACAGAGGGTGGCACGATGTCGATCTGGGCGTCCCAAAATGTCAACTGTTGTGAGGAGGGGAGAGGGGGGGGGGGGGTTCACGGGAGAGAGAGTTTATACTCCACAATGGCGTCGGAAGGGTGGCGTTTGTTATAAATGAAAACGAAATTTAATCACACGTGATATACTGCCCCCAGAACACAGGGTATGACGATGAGCGCACGAATTCGCATCGTGCGAACGAAGATACGGGCACCTGCGATTGTTGGTGTGTCCCCCCGGATGCATACACCCCCTATGCGATTTCATTATTAAAAGTCATTAAGAGTGGGTGGGTGCGTGCAAAATAATATACATATCCGACATACTACCGCACGTGTTTCTATAGATTACGCGAAGGGAATGATAGATTTCTCTGAGCTAGCCAAGAATTATGGGATATTACTAGTAATATCCAGTATTTTATAATTATATTTTATTGATTTACGTTATTTAAATAATTTGATATTTTAATTAAAAATGTTGATTAAATCAGGATAAATTGAATTAACATTTTATATAAATTATAACATCATATATCAAAGGGAACTAATAAATTATTCTATAATACACATATTATTACTATATAATACTTAAACGTAGTAAAAATATATATTTTTGATTATGCATTTTGATATTTGTTCAGGTATTTAATTTAGAGATTTAATATATGCACAAGAGATAGATAAAAAGTAAGCAGTTCGAATATAAAATAAAGTAACCTAATATTGTTACTCCGATTTATAAACTTGTAATTATTAGAACTAAAATTGTTTATATTCTGTCTTGAAAAAATATGATTTCGTATTTCTTTAGGATCAGATTTTTAGATTTCTAAAATCTATAAAGTATCTTATTGTCAGATTTTTTAATGTAATAACACTTTTAAATTAATAATTATATATTTTTAACAGCGAATTGAATTTAATCATTTTGAGAAATTTATATTGTCGAAATTCATATATATTGTTTAACTTATTTCTACATTTTCTATAAATAAGTAATAATAAAAGAAGATTACTATCATATATATTAAATTATGAATTTTAATGAAATGTTTTATTAGCTATTTAACGAAAATAACATAATTTTATTTTTTCTGATTTATTCTTTAAGTGGGTAATAATATTATAGTTTAAACCCCCTTGTAGTTTTATTCATTTTATTCACATTTATTTGAATTATTTCATTATCTTTCATGTCATAACTTCTTAAGTAAAAAATAAACAAGAATATGACCAATAAATAGTCATAACTGGCTACTTTTATTTATTTTCTACTTGATATTGTAAAATAATTATAATAAAAGAAGACTGTAAAATAATCATAATAAAATGAAGACAAAGGAAAATCATGGAAAACAAACTACGCAACGGAATTAATAATTTTAGAAAGGAATCCACTAATAACAGCAGGCTCAGTAACGACACAGCTAACGCCTAGCGTTTAGCCGTCGCATCGGCCAATGGGACGCTCGTCTGACGAATAAATATGTAAATACAATGTCCAGCGCGCCGTAGGCATAAAACGATACGATATATGGCCCGGTAATTTCTTAATTGCGCCTCGAAAAATTCTTGTCATCGTAAACAGCCGGTTGATTATATTGAAACGGCTTAAGGCGCCGGGAGCGTCTCGTGGATGAGACAAGAGAACGAAAAAAAAAGAAGACCACGGGATAAAGAGTAGAGAGACACGGCGATAGTAACTCCGCCATCACGATTATTTATGCGATTCTAACGGTAAGTTCCGCGATCTCGCTTGACGGAAATTAAAACCAAGCTAATGACAAATAGAAGAATCTCCCCTCTTTGTCCGTGTAACGTCTTCGCGACGTAGTAAAACGGTCGGTTCCGTATTAATCATTCTCACGCTCGGCCGAGTTCCGGCGAGATTTGAGAGTGACTCACGCCACGAAGAAGAAGCTAGAAGTTAGCTTACGTGGATATAATTTATGCGATTTGGCGGTTTGCGGCAGATCTCGAAAACGAAGCTAATACGGCTCTCTGGACGTCGAGATGAATCGGTTCGTGGAAAGGTCATCCGAGATACCTATTCAAATCTGTGAGAGTAACCCGCGCATCTAGATCGTGAACACGTCATGGTGATGGGATCCGAAAAATTCTTGAGGTCGGAATCCCAGAGAGGACGAAAACGAAAACTATTTTGTGCTGCATTTTTCTGACGTCTCGCGTAGATAAAATCTGTGAGGCTAATTAGATTTCGTCGCTCGACACCAATGTCACACAGATGTCAGTTAATTTCTACTGATACGGAAATTGTTGTATGCGCCACGATAAAGTTAACGAGTCAATAAAATCTGCTGAGAGAAAAGGGGTAGTAATATAGTACTTTAAGTGAGAGGCGAAAAAGGTAGTAGACGCAATAATGACAGTACTTACCAGTGTGCGTTCTCTTATGTATCTTGAGATTCTCCGACCTGGCGAAGACTTTGCCGCAATTTTGAAAGGGACATTGGAACGGTTTTTCTCCGGTATGCACTCGTATATGATTCACGAGTTTGTACTTGGCCTTGAAGGCCTTACCGTTACGCGCACAACCCTGCCAGAAGCACGCGTGCGTTGTGCACTCGGGTCCGCCCACGTGGTCCACTGTCAGATGCGACACGATGTCGTGAAGGGTATTAAACATCTTGCCACAAAGTTTTCTTCCATTTTCTGGTAACGACGGGTCCTGGTCTATCCACATGCAGGTAGTCTCACGGTGCAAGCCGCCGCTGATGATGGTGCCCGCGTGGTTGCCACTGGCGCTGTTAGACCTCTGTGTAACGTATCTGAAGAAGGCGCTGTTACTCGCATGGTTCATAGCCGAGTGTTGCGGGTGGTGGATGGCAGCCGGTGTCATGTGCGGTGGGCTGATATACTGGGGATGAGACGATAGCGATCTGGTGTCCTGAGGATAGTGCCCAGGATAGTGAGTAGCGGTTAGTGGATGCTGGCCGGAATGATGAGAAAATTGCTGCATCGTCGCGGCCGTACCATCGTGATGCAACGACGAGAATAGGCCTAATCCACCGTTTTCGGGGGTGGTAGGACTCGCCGTTACTATCTCATGATCCCGTCGAATGAGCGCAAACTCGGGTACTCGCGGATAACTAGGATGGTGATTTATGTGAGCCATGTGAGGAGCCATGTGAGGTACCGTGTGAGGATGATGCGGTGGATAGCTTTGAGGATGATAGTGGTGGTGTTGCTGGGACGGTGTTTCGGTCCCTAGAGATGGCTGAATGCCCGCACCGGGATCTGTTAATCCGCCGGTCGTCCCGCCACCTCCGGGTGACAGCTTGATGCCGGTAGGCATGACGATAGGCGGATGAGACGGGTGGGATGGCACACCCTCTAGATAACTCATTATCGCGATTGACGTAATGTTGACTTCGGAAGTAGCACCAAGAAACTTTGTCCACGACGATTTGATTCAGGTCGCGTCGTCAGGCAAGGGGAATGCTTGATACATTTTCGACGTCGTTGAATTTTTGATTCTTTATCTTTAAACTATCGAGATACTTTTGAGAACTATAATTGAACAGTGCAAAACAGTGTATTTGATATAGAAAGCATACAGGCCACAGTACACTTCATTCTAGAATCACTGGTCTTACTTATATGCTGCCTGTTCTAAACTTTCGTAAAATCCATATCTCGTGATATTCATGTTTCCATGTTAACACAAGTCCCATTCTGTCTCGATTAACGAGTAATCTCACGTTTCACGTACAACATTATGAACCCGCTTAAAGATACATTATTTATCACGTACGAATTACACTTTTAAATGATGTTTGGAATACAATTACGATTTATCTTCAACGATCGATCACCGTTTTCCGTCACTTGCGCGCGACCGTGTTACGCGTTTTCGGGAAGTAAACACAATATCTTTCTCAGTGACCGAACTTGTGGTGACGATAACAACAACGCGACGGCGTCCCGGGTGCGTCGTGCGGTGAGGGTGAAACACACGTAGTGCTCCTCGCTGCGTTCACAGCGGGACTGAAAGTAAAGGACTCCCACCGAGGCAACGGGCGTCCGATTTCGGAGTCCGGTATAGATGCCCCTTCCTACTCTACGAGCAGCGCGCTGCCTCCTCGTTCTACCGTAGCTTAACCACCGTGGCAGTGTCCAACCTGGTGTTTCGCCGCCCCACCGTGGCTAAGACCGCCTTCTACCCCTACTAAACCGTTCTGACGGCGCGTGGTCCCTACCACTGGTGAACGTATCCTGGCGGTTACCAGCGTACCATTGGCGCCGACGGCATCACTACTCATTGGAGGCCAGCGAACAGGGAGGTGCTCGTTAATTTACCACGGGCGGATGGGTGTGCGCCTACCAAGGCGCATGTCGAGATTTCGCACGCGGTTCACGCCTTATGGTTTGAAAACAGCGCGCAGTGACGTTCCGCGATTTTATGCACGTTGTACAAAGAACTATCCTCCTGTCTTTCGATACATAAACGTTATTTGAAACATATAGCTGTTCAATTTTATCCGTCAATTCTCGAGTTTTTTTTTCTTCTATTTTAGTTGTTAAAATGTTAGATTTAATTTTTACCGTGCGATAGTTGATGGTAGATACGTGATAATCAAGACACAATTGAGAACAGATTCCACGTGTGCTGAACGAATAAAACCTGATTAAGATAAGACGACGGTCATACTTGCAATAATAATCTCAGCAAACACAGATTAAAACTGTAATATGGCAGCAACATTGTAACATTTCTGCAATATAGCTGAAATGTTACATTGTTGTCGCATCATTGCTGTTATAATCTGTGTTTGCTGCGATGATTCCGCTATTGTAAAAGTAATATCGAATAAGAACTTTATATAGATATTAAGTCTATTTTTAAGGATTTGTCAGAATTGGAGATATACAATAATTTTATTTATTTTCTATGCCGTGTTTAGTGAAGTTCAAAATTAATTGTTACACTTCTTTTTTATATTTTTTTTGTATTTTTGTGTGTGTTGTAAATTCAATAGACCTGAAGAGATTAAAATATTTATACTACATCATAAATGTTTTTTTCTGTAAGTTGTTATTATTTTTTTATTTTAATAAAAAATATTAGTGATTAAGTATCAATTCGAAGTAGAATGTTACAATTATCGCAGTAAATTATAATAATTGTAAGTTTTTTAAATATGTCAGATGAATCAAGAAAAATAGAAAATTAACTATACAGAAGAATATTTTAATCAAAATTTAAATAAAAATATTTTCTTTAAACTCTTAAATAATAGAATTATATATTTATAAATTTTATAAACATAGTATTTTATAAATATATAAATGCAATTAATTTTTAATTTTGTATGTTTCTATAAAAAAAAAATAGAATTAATAAAGCATACATGTAACATGCATATACCTATACATGCTTACAAGTATAAATAAAAAGGATGGACGGGAAAAATAGAAATACGCAAATTTGCTATGTACGGTTCTGCATTCTTCAGCTGCAGTTCCGGGCGGATTCAGCTTGTATTTTTCAAGTCTCTATTTTTCATTTTGCTTGACAGAGAGGATTCACGCAAGACATAGATAGGAGCAACCCATTTGTTCTCTCTTTATTCGTCATAGTGTTCGCTTTAAATACGTATATAATTTTACTTTTGCGTGTGCACACGTAATAAAATCGCTGCGTTATCAGCGCTACCATCTATTTTTTTCTTTTCTTTTTGCCAAACTGGCAATTACGATAAAACTCGCTCTTGCAGCAATTGTCGTATCACTTAATTATCGCCGAACATTTGTTCTTCGCATATGGCGGATATTGCATCTAATCGAATTTAAATGTCCGATACGAACATAAAAAAAGAAATAAACAAGGAAAAATCCTAGAAATTGAATCTAATTAGCATCTAATTATAAGGGACAAATATGTCAAAATATAAAAAGATGTTTCTATTTCGATAATTCATATTATACTCGTAGCTTATCTAATTGTTAAATACTTTTTTTTATTCTATTTTATTGTGCAAAAAGAAAATAAAAATGTTAGTGTTTCTTGTGCAAAATTACTATTTTATTTTATTTTGTTGTATTTTAATAGCCATTTTGATATGAACTTTAATCATTTAAAATAGTCATTGAAGAATAAAAAGCATAATTTTTTAAATTTAGATGCTGCATAAAACAGAATCATGTATAATCTCGAAAAAGATTTTTTTATACTTATTATATTTTTAATATTACCAATTATTATACTGATTAAAAATTTTACAATATTGTACACTTCTAACAATAATAAATATAAAATTTTTATTTAAAGATTTTTTAATTAGAAAAAGAAAATTCATAAAAATTAACTGTTTTGTATAGTTCTGGATTAAAAAGATCTCTTTGATATAAAAACAACGCGAGAATTTATCAATTATTTTTCAGAAATAGTAGAAGTACATCAATAATTTATAAATTAAAAAAAACATCAGAAGAAAAAGGTACACATAATAAACTTATTAAGAATTTATTAAGAATAATTAAAATTATAGGAATGGCGACTTGTCGATTTGCCAGTGTGGAGTTAGACATCGGCGGGGAGGGAGGGCATAATAAAATTTTCATTATACTTTGACATCAAGATCCCTTTATACACCTCTTTATATAGACTTTATATTAGGTGTATAGCTTTTTATATCAATTAAGATCAACAGAATAATGAACAATGACATTTTTCAAATAATAAATTTTTATAAATATATTTGTTTAACTTGAAATACTTATAGAGCAAACGCTAAATTTATTCATAAGTGCATCAATATCTAAAGACTACAAAGGACAACTGCATGATTATTTTGTCGGCCACGCTCGGTTCGTTCAATAGTTGAAATTTTTTAATAAAAGTTCTAAAAAAATTTAATTATTTTTGGCTCAACATTAATTATTTTCAAAAAATTGTTTGTCTATGGAATTCCAAACATGAAAAATTCTTTTGTGGAGTGTGGTCGTGTGGAGTATTCTATACACACATCCTACAAAAGTTGCCGCCCATAAGCAAGTACGATAAAATATAACTTTTTTTATTTTATGATTTTGTACGTGCATTGAATGCCAGCCAGAAAAGTAACCTTTGAAAGACGGATGCATTTTTGTTAGTTAGTTTCTTCTTTTGTCGGAAATGAGTTTTCATTCTGTGTGGGTCAGACAAATCTCTTAGGATATTCATTGTATATTTTTTAGAAAACTACTTCACCTTCGCTTTTCTTTCTTATATACTAAGGTAACCTTTGTTGGAACTTTGGCGGAAAGTTGTTATATAAAATGTCTATTTCGTATTCTAATTCTGCAAACGCATTAATCAATGCTTGCAAAATATTCGGTTCTTATAGAATACAGATACAAGACAGGTTTTCTCGGGACAGTTCAGGTACGAACTTAAGAAACGATTTGGACATATGTGCTATGTCACGGACTAGAAAAAAATTACGATTTGTTATTCTTAAAGAAAACGGAAAATTATTGATTATGTATCAAAATGGTTTTTACCTATGTCGAGGTTTACTTGCAAATATAATGCTTGATCAAAAATAATTTAATAATAAATAGTTGTGATTGTTTAAATGTGAAGAAACGTAAAAATGTGAAAATTAACTGTATTATCTAATAAATTATATGTGCATTACTAAATAAATTTATATCACGAATTCATGATATTTCCATTCTTAATGCGAATCTGAATTTCAGGAGGTATATTATGTGATAATTGATTTACTGGAAAGAAAATACGCTTATAAAATATTTTTCCGTTAGTTTCTTTTAAATTAATTAAGAAGCAGTTATTCACTTCTAATTATCTAATTAAACGCATCTCTTTTATTGAAATTAAAATATTTGCCCTCTCTAATCTCTTTGTATAAAATGCTTATACTTTTATTTACATAACACTTACGGGCATATTTAGCAATATGAAAATCAATACCCAAGAAGAAGTATAAAAGTCAAGTTTTCATTTTTATTTAAATACCTCTTTTGCACATTGGTAAATAAGATAAGTGTCGAATGGATGATTAACGATATTTTACATTTACATCATACGGAGTAGTAATTAATCAAATAAGGAAATAGAACATATGCATATCCTTCAAAGCACTAGCAACTTCGGTATACGCAACTGAGATGATTTATGCTCTCTCTCTCACGGAAAAGGAAAAATGACCAACAGTTCCAACTTCAGACCAGGGTTCAATTTTGCTTTATATTGGCGTGCATATGCGGATCTAATCTTTCACGAGCCTCCGCATTTCGGTATATACATACATGCTATTTATATGTGATCTTTGTCTAACATCATTCTGTTCTACGCCGCGCCGTTGAATATATTAACGCAGCTTAATCATCCGCATAAATAATGCAAATACATCGAGCATTTTAACGGGGTGCCTCATTGTCGCGGCAAAAAATGGTGTCCCATTATGCCCGTAATGGGCACGGTGGCTGACTATTTGATATTAATAACTACCATAAAGGTGGACTCGCGGCTCTTTCGTGTACTTAGGAGGCACGGACTGAATGATGCTTTCCATCCACCTTCTGTTGCTTACTAACAGCGCGAGACATCGAGCGAAGACAAATCTATGCGTATATAGCGCGTGAGCGAGTTTATAAACTCACCGGGTGCTCCGAAGGTGCACCTTTTCTCGTGCAATACACATACGACCTTACAGAAATTTTAAAAGCGCTTACAAACGGTCTCATTGTCTTGCTATTTTTATATATATTAGCTGGCGCAACTAGAATTTGTTTTATATACGCAATTAAATTTGTATACTATGTGTATATTTGTGTCTCGTATGTTAAAAATATTTATTTGCATTACTCATGTGCAAAACCTTTGATATTAAAGTAAAAATAAGATTATTTAAATAATATAATTTTATTAAAAATAAGATAACATTACGGCATGATGTTATTACTTACAGTTAACAGGGCTCTACAATTTCTTTCGATTCTCAGTTTGTATAAACTGATCGCTTTATTAC